CTTTGGAGCATTTTTGTCAAATCTTGCCCACTATAAAAAGAGTGGACTCCAACTCCAAAAATCCCCCAGCCAGCATGGGCCAAGTTTGGACAATACTTTAGAGAGACTTTTCTGGCTTTTGAATGCTTTTCTCAGCTGACACCACTTCCATTTGAAAGACAAAAACAATGTTGCACCACGAGCTCTGACCCGCTTGCCACCCCCTTCCCAGCCTCACTTCTTCAGAAATGTTCCTTAGTCCCTCCATTCCTACCTTCTTGCACTCGGCTTAGCACTTGTCTTTGTTTCTAGGCTCATAAAGCATTTTGGCATTTAATATCTAATCCCTGCAGTATGGTTTAAATGTTCTGATAGCATTTAGCTTTTATATTTGTATTATATTTAATGGGCTCATTTAAAGATTTTTGCATTTGGACTTATCCTCCCTCTATTTGTACTATTATTTTAATACTTAATCAACTGCAGAATAACCTTATCTCATTTTTTCATTGAAAAACTTTGGTAGTAAATTGTAAAAATGCTTTGTGTGTTTTTCACATACACTCTTGATTGCAGCAAAGGATTTGACAAATATTACATGATATGCTGATTGATAAGCTAGTTAAAAATGGGCTCACTTGCATGTGAAATGTCATAGTGAAGGGTTTTGAACCCTGTACTTTTGAATATTTTTATTAAGGGCTTGAATGAAAAGTGGTGGGAATGGTTATGCAGTCTTTAGATGACACAGTAATAGATATGATAGCTTATAGTCTCGAAATAAAAATAAAATTGAAAAGAAAAATGTGCCGAGGTTTAAGAGAAAGAAATATAACAGTGGGAAGGGCAAAGATCCATACACAGGAACCAGAAATCAAATGCACAGATATAGAATTGGAGCTACCGTACCCAATTTCTGTGCTTGGAAAAAAGACCTTGGAGCAATAGTTGAATACAAACTAAATATAAGACGGAGTGTGGTGTGGCTGCAGAAAAGGCTAATGAAATTTGCGGCTTAACAAATATATCATGGGAAGTAATATTTCTACTGTATTCTGCATGAAGGCTTCAACACAAGAATTCCATCAATCCAATTAGTTGAACAGGGGGTGGGATCTGATGGCCTAAATACCCATTTCCGATTCATTGATTCTACAATATATTACAACAGTGGGAAAAATTTAGATGGGAGAAATTTATAAAATATTTAATCATAAGTATATCCTGTTTGCTCAATGCCTCTTTAGTTGTTTGTTGTAAAAGAAAAATAAATGATGCTGCATGATTATTATTTACATGGTTAATCTTGGATTTTAATATTATCGTTTCTCTTCCCCTCCCCTTCTCTCCCTGAAAAAAAAAATCACAGCAAACTATGGGCCAAATCCAATTTGCAAAGGTTGCTTGTCTTGCTCAAAGGATAATGGATGCATCAGATGTCAACATAAGTTGTTCTTCTTTCTACGAAGAGAAGGAATGAGACAATATGGGGAATGCTTGAATTCCTGCCCGTTGGGGTACTACGGTCTCCGAGCTCCAGACATGAACAGATGTTCAAGTGAGTTTTCTCTACTTAATATTTTGAAGTCTATAATTCACTCCCTTATGACTTCATTTTGAAAATGATTGAGTGGAGTGCATAAAAATAAAACTTCCATAAAATTAGGAATCTTCAGTTATCTCATATGATACAGTGTATGAATTTATTGTATTTATTTATGTATCCCTTCTGGCAGAACCAATCCATTTATTGTTTTTTGTTTTGTTTTGCTCTGTTATTGCATATTTTTTCTTTCTTTCGTTTAGAAACTTTTGCTATTCTGTTTTAGATACTGTTTTGTGTGGATTTTGGTTCTGATTCTGTGTATGTATTCATTTTTGAAATGCCCCTGATCCTCCAGCAGGTGTGCTGCTCCACTCCTTACTTTTGCTCATTTCCCTGGGAAAGTGAGAAATGGGGAAAAGAGGTAAAATCAGAGAGGGGACAACTGAAATACCCAGGATGTGTATTAATACAACTAGTTATATCCTTTCTGTTTCAAGTAAATACCCAAGGCAACTTAACAGCATAAAATAATAAAATAAAAAAGGCAAAGGATATAAAATGCAGATAATAAAACTGTTAGCATTTAAAGCCAGTCTTGTAAAGATTGGGAGCCAAACATTAAGAGAATGATTTCCATTACGTTTGAGCAACATGGGAGAAAGTCCTTTTCTGTGTGCCTGATAAACAGATCTTTGAAAACGGGACTCTTACAAACACTTTACAAGAGTTTCTCCTGCAGTTCTTCCATATATAAACAGCATAATGAGAGAGACGGTCTCTCAGTCCACTGACATAAAAAATTTCTCTTTCTGAAATCTCTTGCTTTAACTTGGAAATCAAAACAAACACTCTTGTTGACTGACAATTGTATTTTCAATTCTGCACAGTTGTATGCATATGAATGTGACTTAAACTTTGTTAACCTTGTTCACTAGGCTAACTTGCAGTCTTGTGCAGTCTTAAAAGTAAATCTCACCATCTCCCAGAGGGTTTAGTCCTTAATTAATAGTTTTAGAATCAATTACTAGGCTTAGCAGTTATTTTTTTTTAAAAAAATACAAGACTTCCACCTGAAATTCCATCTACTACAGTTGTTCTGTAAAATGATGTGAAAACCAACATCTGATAATTGACAATTGGAAATGCTTAAATCTGTGTTATTTTAGAATACAAAGTATTTAACTCTTCTATTCTGTCTCATTAAACAATCATAAAAGTCCTTTTCTGCTAACATATTATAGGCAAATATTTTAGTCATCTTGAGCATAATGCTTCTCAGAAAAGGAAATTGTTATGATTCAATGTTCAGTGACCAGATGATAATTCCACTTTATTTTTATTAGTCACTCCTTCCCTCTCATCTTGAGTATAATCTTCAGTTCTGGGCCCCTCACTATAAAAAGGACTCAGACAAACTGGAAGAGATTCAGAGAAGAGCAACAGGGATGAGCAGAGGACTAGAAACTAGCCCTGTGAAGAGGGACTGAAGGAAACAGAAATGTTTTACCTTGAGAAAATCAACAGCAGTCTTCTAGTACTTGAAAATAAGCCATACAGAAGGAAGTCAACAACAGAGGATCGAAAAATGGATTTCAGTTATAGGAAGACAGAATTGATTAAAAGTTAGGAATTTTTTCCTAGCAGTAAAACTAGTTTAACAGTGGAACCAGGGTTATCGTAGCCCCTTTACCTGGATGTATTAAGTGGGAAAGATGCGTCTCTCAGGATGCTTTACTTGGATTCCTGCAAAGAACAGGGGATAGGGCTTGGTGGCCTAGATGGATCCTTCCAATTCTGTTCAAAGACTAAATAATTGTTTTGATGGTTTGAGACAAATCTAAACTCTCAAGGTTTCTGCCCTTTCCCCACACTCACAACCAAAGTAACTGTGACAGAAGAGGTTAAAAGTTTTGATTTGTTAACTGTAGGGTGCCATTTGAAAGCTTCTACCCACAATAAAAGAATAATTCTAACCCACTTGAAACCTAACAAGCTGTTCTTCTTTTATTACGGGCAATGGCAATAAATCAGTTTCAAAGCACAGTTTTTGAAACTTCATCAAGCATTAGTAAGGTTAAGTGTAGTTTAGGGCACAACTGAAACAATGAGTCTGAAGGCCATCTGACTTATTCTTACAATGTTGACCATTGATTCAGCGTTGCATCCAAGGGCAGACACTATGTCTTGGAATGTGCTCTTCAGCAAATGTAAAAAAAAAAAAAAAAAGATGTCTTTGTGTAGAGTTGAACTTGTGGTGAATTCAGGGACACCATTCAGTTTTCTTGGCAACCGTACCAAAGTGATGTGCATTGCCTGCTCTTGGAATGGTTTTCAATTTCTCAAGGTAGCCTACAGACCAGAGATTTCCTGATAGTCTCTCAGCTACCCTTGACTCTCTTTAGCTTCTGAGCCAAGTCAGGTGTTAGGTGAGTGCACTGGAACACAACCTGTCCTGAATCTGTGAGCCTAGTTTGACTTTTGTGTTCGGAAGCTGATTGAAAACAAGGGACTGAACTGTTTGTGCTTAGGTTGTCTCTCCAGCACATTCTAATATTTCTGTCTTTTAAATTGTATATTAATTATCTTAACCACTATTATAACAATAGATCCCTTTAATTTACAGTAATTTAATATTAAGCAACAAAGCACTCTGTATTGTTAATGTTGAATAAATGCATTAAAAGCTTTCATTGTGTCCGTGTGAGTTTTCCTGTTTCCTGGCAGATTAATATTGTCAATAAAATGTTTGTTAAATTCTATGAATTCTAACTGATAGAATGTTATTTAATCCTCCTTTTCCTTTTCAAATATTCCATATTTTATTTAGCTTTACCCCATTCTGAACTATCACAGTTCTCAATAGAGGATTATCTTGTATTGCTTGTTAAGAACAAATAATATCTCTATAAATAAAGTTTAGCATATACTTTAAGAACTTAAGAAGAGCTTGACTGTATCTATCCAGTGTCCATTCTAGTCCAGTGGCCAACCAGTTTGATAAAAGGAAGGGAAATACCTCTTCATATCATGCATAGTTGCACAGTGGAATTTGCTGTCAACAGATGTGTGGTGGTCCCCAATGTATACAATTAAAAGAGAACTGTACAAATTTATGGAAGATTGGGCTATCAGTGGCTACTAGACTTTCATTTACTACCTCAGAAATCATGAGTGCCATGTCCTAAAAGCCAGCCATAAATGAGCAATGATGGGAGAGGTCTTTTGCTCTTCTGTCCTTGTTTGCTAACTTCCTGAAGACAACCATCTGTATTTATAGTTACATGGACTGAAAACACCCCACAGGATATACACTGTAAAAGAGAAATATACCCTCCTCCAAGAGGGAGGTGGAAGTCATGCAGATCTCAAAAAAAGGAGTAGAAAAATATGGTTGGAGGTGGGAGAAGCCCAAAATAAAATTAATGCTGATATTGGGTGGAAGAAGAAAGGAACCTTATGGTACTGTTGGAATTTAGGTACATCTGGGAATGTAGGGCTGCAGGATAAGCAGACCAAAAAAAAAAAAAAGTTGAACACCCTTGTCCTGAATGAGGGTGGGGCAGAATCCCATTCCAAGAGTTTCCTATCCTGAAAGACCCAGGTTAGTCATAGGCATCTGAAGCTTGCAAAAATCAAACTCTGAGTAAGCAATAGGAGTAGGAAGATTCCTCTAAGGTGGGTAAGTCAACTCCATTTTAGTTTTGGTTTTTCTCTTCCTCCTCTGATATAGATCTGGACTGGAGATCAAGGAATTATACAGCAAGCTATTGACTAGTATAGTGAGATGCACAAATATTGATTTGTGTGTGTGTGTGTGTCTTAGGAACTGCTGACTGCATTTTCCCTTCCAAAAGTTCAGTTCAGTTCACAAGTTCAGTTCTTTTTTTTTCCTTTCATTTCTTCTTTTGATTTCTTGATGGTCTTAGTATTTTACCTTAGTATAACCTCGATATACACAAGGAAGAGTTGCATTCCTAATGGATCAGGGACATGCACTCTGAGTGTTTGGCACATTCTTTCTCACTTGATTAGCAATTGAAGAAAAGGCAGTAAGTTTACCACTTGCCTCCTCCCAGGTAAATTGGGGCAGAGAAGAATTTATTTGGAGTAACATGCTTAGTGGCAGCACCAGTTAATTGTGCTATTATAGAAGCTATAGATGGATGCAGTAGGGTTTTGAGTGGAGGGCTTAGAGACCCCTCATAGGAGCCAAAGGCTCAGTCCATCACATCCTGTGCATGCATGCTCTGTTATACCCTACCTTTGAAAATACAAAATTTAACTGTATTAGAATCTTTATCCATTCTTAGATAAAAGTCACAGATTCCTTGGGAGTTCACAAATGGAAATGGAGAAGAACTAAAAAGTGTTATGCAAAGAAATCCATAGATAATTTTAGTATACTAGGTTATACTAATTTAGTATACAAGGCTGGCCTAGTCCCTAAATTGGATAGTCTAGTGGCAGGTGGAGTGAACCCTCAGGAAGTAATTTCCATGCTTTGATTAAACTAGATCGTGCACTCTTTTATTCTTTGCAGGATTTTAAGAACAAACCTCTGAATGTAATATCAGCATAACTCCCATTGATTTCAGTATGGCTTAACTTCATGTAATGTATTTAGATCTGATGGTTAGTTAGCTTATTTTAGGTTTAGCCTTTTCCTGGGTTCTTGGCCTCCCAACTTCAGTTCACTATTAGGGAAAGTGAAGGTTTAAATGTTAAAGGTCAGTTCATAGGGTTTTTGTTTTTTGTTTTGGTAAGTATCTTAAACCAAGTAATGAGGAACAACTTTTCTAAAGATCTGGGAAGTCCGTATCAATCAAGGTAAGCAGTAAAGGGACCTAAAGGCAGCCTCTTCTGTTCAAGTTGAGAACTGAAAATTCTCTTCATTGATTTCCAGGAATACATGTGAATCCATGAATGACAGATTGCTTTCATGTCTTCTTGATTATATGAGCCCCATCACCATCCCTCCTCTTATACAGGTAGATGTAGGTTGTAGATATGTC